TGACAGAGAGAGACACAGCGAGAGAGGAAACACAGGCAGGGGGAGTGGGAGAGGGAGAAGCAGGCTTCCCGCCGAGCAGGGAGCCCGATGCCGGGCTCTATCCCAGGACCCTGGGACCATGACCTGAGCCGAAGGCAGACGCTTAACGACTGAGCCACCCAGGCGCCCCTACGTAACATTTCTTAATTCGTCCTTTTTATTCTCCCTCTCTTTTTATGCCATTAATTTAAGAAACCGGGTCTTGGACTTCCAGAATTTTCCCACATTCTGGATTTCTTAATTGCTGTCTCAGCCTGTCATTTCGGATCTCCAGTTTTTCTTGTGAACTTGTAGTTAGAGCTGAAGGTTAGGTTAGTCAGGAGTCACGTTGTACATTTCCAGGAGCTTGTCCTCATTTGTTGATTGCTCCTTGCTCTTCTTGTTCTGTATTCTGATTTTTCTGTTTCCTTTGGGATCAGTTCTGTTTTGTTTTGTTTTTGTTCTTGTTTTTTATCTCAGCCCTTCCTTTTCATGCTTTTGATCTTCCAGAAATGTTGAAGGGTCCTTGAGAAGGCTGGTGTTTGTCTGGAATGACACCGGCTTGGAATCCTGCGTCTCACAGTCATTCAGTGCTTACTGAGTAGAGTCAGTGTGACCTGGCTGTGCCTCGGGCTTTTACCCATAAAGCAGCGGTGACAGCAGTAGCTGCCTCATGGGTTCGTGGAGAGCATTAAATGAGCTAAAACATATGAAGTGCTTTGACGTGTCTTGGCATATAGTACATAACAACTGTTGGTGGCTTGGCTAAGGACCAAAGGACAGAATGAGAGAGGAGGCTGCAGAGCGGGGAGGGGCCGATCGCAGAGGCCTTGGTGTGCCACGGTGAGCGTGGATCTGATTCTCAGAGCAGTGCCAAGCCGTTGCAGGGGCTTACGCGGTGGGTTCTGATCAAGAAGGAAGCCCAGTGCTGTGGGAATCCAGGAAAGGCCTCTCCCCCGGGGGGGGGCGGGGTGTGGGCGTGTGCCCTTGGGTCTGTACACATGCATACGCGTGCACAAGTGTGCAGACACGTCCGTGCCAATAGCTGGTGGCCGGGGTTGGACCTGTGACCTTCTCCGCAGGCTGTGGGTGAGCGTGGAGGATGCTCAGATGTACACGGTCAGCATCTGGCTCACCGTGCGCCCTGACATGACCGTGGCTTCCCTCAAGGACATGGTGAGTTGGCAGGGGCGGGGCCACACTAAAGGGAAACATCAGGGCACATGCTTCCCATTTTGCTTCTACCTCTTTACTCTGATCCTCCCTTTTCACTCTCCTGCTCTCCGTACCCCGTCCCCCCCGCCCCCAGGTATTCCTGGACTACGGCTTTCCGCCCGTCCTGCAGCAGTGGGTGATTGGGCAGCGGCTGGCCCGGGACCAAGAGACCCTGCACTCCCACGGGGTGCGGCGGAATGGGGACAGTGCCTACCTCTATCTGCTGTCAGCCTGCAACACCTCACTGAACCCTCAGGAGCTGCAGCGGGAGAGGCAGCTGCGGATGCTGGAAGGTGAGGCTCTGAGCGCCATGGGACTCACCTGAGATCGCAGGGTGAGAGGGAGCAGAGCCCGTGGCTTTTGGTCAGGAGCTGTCACCGGGAGGACCTTATCCATAGTGGGGAAGAGAGGACAAAGGGCACCCCGGAGGGAGCCATTTCAGAGCCATTTTGAGAGCAGCTGGTCTGGGGGAGGAGGGGGGCTGAGTTCAGTCCTGGCTCCGGCATTCATCAGCTGGGCGACGTCGGGCACGTCCCTTCCAGTCTCTGTTCCTCGGTTTCTAAATCTGTACATTGGATATGATGATGACAATAATAGCGTTTATTCTAAATTTTTTGCTTATCATCTGAAAGTATTTCAGACTTATAGAAAAGTTGCAACATTGTACAAAGAATTGTATAACAAATTCCCAAGTACCTTTCATGTGGATTCCCCAAAATACTAACACTTCACCACAATTACTTTGCTTTGTCATTCTCTCTATATAATTATTTATATATGTCTAAATAATTTTTTTCTGAACTGTTGTGAAGTTGCAGACATGATGTCCCTCTCGCCTAAATACTTCAGTGTTCATGTTCTTGGAAAAGGGGTCATTTTCTTACATGTGGTAAACATACAACTACCAAATTTAGGAAATTAACAATGATGAAATACTATTATCTAATCCACAGATGTTACCCAGATTTTACCAGTTGTTGCACGAATGTCCTTTGTAGCCAGACACCTGGCAGTGGCCTCATGTCTCTCAGGGTCTTTCAATCTTTGGTGTCCTCAGTCTTACTTTGACTTTCCTGATATTTGAAGAGTCCGGCCAGTTTTGTTTTTTGGGTTTTTTTTCTGTCCGATATCCCCTCGTGAATGGATGCAGATTCAGTATTTGTCAGGAGCATCTCAGAAGTGATTGGGCCTCTAGGTGTATGACATAAGGAGCATAGGAGGCCGGTTTTTAGGCCCGGGTTTTTAAGCGGGGGCTCGCAGGAGCACTCACGCGTGGAGGAGGGCCCCTGACCCTGTAGGAGCCAGACATTCAGCCAGGTCTAGGCTCACCTGGGGAACCGAGCTGGAGACTCCCCCAGGGAGGAGGAGCGGTGCGGGGGGGGGGGGGTGGAGGGGCCGCAGGGCGCCTGGCTGGCTCAGAGTGTGCACGAAGTGGGCTGCTGGATCTGCCACCCCCTAAACCCTCCTCCCTAGATCTGGGCTTCAAGGACCTCACGCTGCAGCCCCGGGGCCCTCTGGAGCCCGGCCCCACGAAGCCCGGAGTCCCCCAGGAGCCGGGGCGGGGCCAGCCCGACGCCACGCCCGAACCCCCGCCGGTAAGCCGCCCCCGCCTCCCCGTGCTGGTGACCGCGCGCCCCACCCCCGACTCCGCCTCCGCGCTCCCGGGCCCCGCCCCCGCCCGACTCCCCGCGCCGTGCTCAACCCCCACTCCCCGACTCTGCTCCCAGGTGGGCTGGCAGTGCCCCGGCTGCACCTTCATTAACAAGCCCACGAGGCCCGGCTGCGAGATGTGCTGCCGGGCGCGGCCTGAGGCCTACCAGGTCCCTGCCTCGTACCAGCCCGACGAGGAGGAGAGAGCGCGCCTGGCGGGCGAGGAGGAGGCGCTGCGCCAGTACCAGCAGGTGGGCGCGGAAGTCCCGGGACAAACACGCGCAGACCGGGCGGGGAGGCGTAGGACTGGAAGGGAGGCACCTCCGCATTGCTGCTCCTTCCGCGTTGCCGCCTTGCCCCCTCCTGAGCCCACCGCTGGTGCTGACTCTGCACTTGACTGTGACTCGCCCTCTCCTGGAGGTCTTAGGTGCTGAGACCCTGCTCCCTGGCTGTGATCACATGCCCCGCCCCCACTGGGGCTGTGGCTCCGCCCCTAGCTTTGACTCCCACACCCACTGTGCGGACAACTCCCCTGGCTGTGACTCCGGTACCCTAGCTCTGACCGTGCTTTTGTCCACCTCCTCCTTATCCGCCCGTGACCTAGCTCCTGCTCCACTCAGACGTCACCTCACCCCGGACCCTACTATTCCTGACCCCCTCCCTCCCTGTTGTGATTCATCCCTGACTTCCTATGAGCCTGGACCCAGCCTTTCACCTCTCCCTGCGAGGTTGACCCCGCCCTCTGTCCTGCCCCTCCCATAGCTCTGCCCCCCCATCCTGACACAAGCTCTGATTACACAGATACCAGATCCTGAGTGTTCCCCATTCTGATCGGATGCCCCCCAACCCTCACCTGCATTCCCCTGGGATCCAGTGCTGTCCTTGCCCCGCCCCAGCCATGACCTCATTTGTGGTCTTACCTAGTCTTGGCCCAGACCCCGTCCTCTCCCGTCTTGCCTTGCTCCCTAGCTTTATCACCACCTCCATACCCCTGACCCACTCTGTGACCTTGACCGGCTCCGACCCCACCCACTGCCCAGCCGTGCCCTGCTTCTTGGCAGGGATGTGAGCCCTGTTATCCCAGACTACCCCCTCAGACCTTTAACCCCCTTCCTTTCCCTACCGCCATCACTCCCTCGCGTGGCTTGACCCCTGGTTGCAGCCCCGACCTGCCCCAGCCTGGCCCGCCTCCCGCCCGTGGCTTCCCCCCTCGCCTCCTGGCCTCGCGCTGGCCCCACCCTTCCCAGCATCTCGTCTCCTGCCTACGGCCAGGCCACCCCACCCCCACCCCCACTCCCACCCAGGGATCCTGACTCTCCGCCAGCTTTGCCCCGCCTCCGGGGTCTGACCTGGTCCCGCCCCCTTCGTGGTCTGCCCCTCCCCTGAGACCCTGACCCGCCCCGCGGCCCCGCCCCGTGTGCCCAGCGGAAGCAGCAGCAGCAGGAGGGGAACTACCTGCAGCACGTCCAGCTGGATCAGAGGAGCCTGGTGCTGAACACCGAGCCCACCGAGTGCCCCGTGTGCTACTTGGTGCTGGCGCCCGGCGATGCCGTGGTGCTGCGTGAGTGTCTGCACGCCTTCTGCAGGTGCGGCCCCCACCCCCACCCCCACCCCCACCCCCAGCAGGGCCGCGTTTCTCGCAGCCGCCAGTTACCGGAGGGCTGAGAGTGGGTGGGGCCCGTGCGCTTACATCTCATTGGATGCCCGCAAAAACCTGCGAGGTAGGCGCTGTCACCGCATTTTGCCAAGGAGGCGTGGGAGGTGCAGAGAGGCCTGCCGCCTCCTCGCGGCCACACTGCTCAGGCATTCTGGTTCCGGCCCTCAAGCCGCCGTCCGCGCGGGCCCCTCCGAGGGCATTGAGGCCCAGTCCCTGGCAGCCTGAGCCGAGCCCGCTCGCTGCCTGGCTGGTGGGCAGGCTGCCAGCCCTGGGCTCTGGAAACGGAGTCCTCCTTCATCACAGCAGGTGTTTCTTGAGTGGCCCCTGGGTGCCAGGGACCGGGCTAGGCCTAGGGATCCAGGGGTGAACACAAAAGCTGTTCCTGCCTCCTGGAGCTTACCTTCCAGTGGAGAGGCTGCTGGTAATCAAATCATGACTCGTATAATTGTAAATTGTGTCAGATCTAAGTCCCGGTGAATTATGAGGAAAGAAAACCCAGGGGCTCTGCTTCAGGAGGGGGTCAGGGAAGCCCCACAGGAGGTAGCACTTGAACAGAGACCAGAAGGTCTGGCGCAGGGGTGTGCCTGGCCCATCTGCGGCAAGCAGGGGTCGGTGTGGCCAGAGCAGAGGGATGGACAGAGAGGTGTTAGGGAGGACCTGTCCCTGGGGTTCTTGTGAGCCGTAGTGAGGGGTGCAGGTTTGTTCTGGGCAGGTCGGGGTGGGAGGCTGCTGGGGACAGGTGGACACAGGGATCCCAGTGAAAGTGATGGGGGCCTAGACCAGAGCAGTGGGGGTGGTGGCGGGGTAGACAGAGGTGGAGGCCTTGCTGATGGCTTTGTGGGAGGGATAGGAAGGTAGGTACTGAGGAAAAGCCTCCCTGGGGTCAGGCCTCACCACGTGAGGAGTCAGATGGGCTTCAGATGACCCTAACCTCCACCCCTCACCCCACTCCCCCTCCAGGGAGTGTCTGCAGGGCACCATCCGCAACAGCCAGGAGGCCGAGGTCTCCTGCCCCTTCATTGACAACACCTACTCGTGCTCAGGCAAGCTGTTGGAGAGAGAGATCCGGGCGGTAAGGCCTGGGAGCGGGGGAGGGAGGGGCACGCCCTGAGCCGGCACATCTCAGACAGCACACATTTATCCAGACCCCTCTGCGTGGGATGCCGGGGGCCAAGCAGTGAAGAGGTCGGGACGTGGGGCACGTAGCTGGTAAAGAAACCACCGCTGTGAAGGAAAGACAGCAGAGGCGTTAGGAGTGGGGAAACTGGGCCCATTGGCCCCGGTGACCTCAAGTCAGATACTCAACCCATGCCTTGCTTTTCTCATCTCAGTTAGGGTCGAAGTTAGTTTCTTCAAAGGCTGTGAAGAATATAGGAGAAGAGTGTGTGTAAAGATTCTAGAGTAGTGCTTGACACACGGTGGGTGAGCCCTTGTATCAGTTTGCTTTTGCTGCGTAACAAGTTTTCCAGACATAGTGTCTTCAGACAACACTGTTTATTTAGTTCATGAATCTGCAAGTCAGTCATTGGGGTTGGGCTTAGCCAGACAATTCTTGTAGCTCCTGATTTTTCTAGCTCCTGCTGGGCCTGGCCGGCCTCAGGTGGGTTTAGCTGGTGGGTCAGCTGTCCTGGACTGATTCAGGATGGTCTTACCTGCAGTGGTGGGCGGGGCGGGGGGGCGTGCGGCGGGCGGCTGGGCCTCTTTCCACTTTGCTCTCTGGCTGGGTCAAGCAGGCCAGGCCTGCTCCCGGGCTGATGGTCCTCAGGTTCCAAGAGCAGCCAGCAGGGGGCTTCAGTGCAGGAGTACCTCCCCTCTTCGTTCCCTCGCTGCCCTCCCACTGAGCATGCTCAAGCCCAGAGTCCCTGTGAGAGGGGACCACCCAAGGGTGTGGCGTCAGGGAGACATGAATAAATGGGGCCATCCCTCCAGCAGTCCATTCCAGTGCTGTAGGCGTCCAGGCATGCGCATTCACTGTTATTATTATCAGTATTTCCAAGTTCTCACCCTTCCGTGAGTCTCCATTTCCCCACCTGGAAAATTGACTGTTGGGCTTCATTCATGGTTTTTAAACTGTTGGGAAGGGCCTTCTCAGAAATGGGCATCTTGGGATTCCCAGGCCAAAACATGAGGCAGGGTCAAAGGTGGCTGAGGTCCACATGGGAGACCCCACAGGCACATCCCCAAGACCTCTGTTCCTCCTGCCTCTCCCTTAGGATCCTGCTTCTGCGAACCTCCTTGACTGCTCCTAGTATTTCCTGGAGCCCAGGGGGTCTACCTCAGCTGAAAAGGGCGGGGGGGTGCAGAAAGGGTAGAGCTTGGGGAACTTCACCTACACCAAGAACAGCCCCTTTTATCTGTTGTCTGTGGGGCATCAGGGAAGGGCGGCTCCAGGGGGTTGCTAAGGCCTTCTCACTGCGGCCTGGAAAGCTCCCAGACATGGAGTCAGTCATTCCATATGTCCTGGCACCCATGGTGATTACCCAGAGGTTTTTCCTTGAGGTCCATCCCTACCAAGGGCATTGTGATGGGACCAGAGTTCCTGCCAAGGGGCTGCAGGGCCCATGCTTCCCCAGAGCCCTTGGGGGTTGACCCAAGACTCAGAGAAGGTCAGGTGTGGCAGAGGGAGAAAGGGGCAGGGATCAGCAGAGTAATGCAGTGGAGCTTATCTTTACAAAACACATGCCTAAACCACATAGAACTGGAATCAAAGAGAAAAGTCACCCACAACCCTGCCATCCCAGGGAATCCGACTGCATTTTCCTGTTTCCCTTGGTGTCTGTGGGCAGACGTGACTTTATTCCTTTTTAAATCAAGTTTACTAAGGGAAACTTGGCATGCAATAAAATGCGCCCTTATAAGCATGCGGTTGGGTGAGTTTTGGCAAATACAACTCTTGTAACCACCACCCAATTCAGATGTAGAAAGTAGGCATGATTTTTTCTTCATTGTTACCAGCATGGATACAACAACTTTTGCTCTTTTGCCATAGAATTTTTCTAAGGATTATCATAAATCTCATGGCATCTATCGTGCTTATACCTCTTCTTGTAATAATTCCCGTTTCTCAGTTTGTAATGAATGCTTCAAGGAATGTTTTGCGTGGTGTCTCTTCTTATATATTATATGCTTAGGATAAACTCGTGGAAGTGGAGTGAGTCCCAGTGGGTCAGAGAAATTTTGTTGAAACACAGCTGCCACGTTGCTTTCTCAGAGTGTGATGTACCAGAATACTAGTTTAGCCACATCTTCCCCAGCACTGCCAGTTATTATTTTTGTTCATTTTTTCCTTAAATGTACACATAACAAAATTTACCATTTTTCTTTTTTTTTTCATTTTCACTACTTTTAAGTGTACAGCTCTGTGGCATTAGGTACACTGACATTGTTGTGCAACCGTCACCACCATCCATCTCCAGAACTTTTAATCCACTTTTGAATGGAGTTTTTAAACACCGAGGGTGGTGCGAAGTAAAGAGCCGGAGCTAGGCTGGACTTTATGGAGGATATGTGGGGGCAGGGAGGGCCCTCATCGGCTGTTCTGAACCCCGAGCAAACCGGGTTGGGGCCTTTTGGCAGCTGCTGCCCCCCGAGGATTACCAGCGGTTCCTGGACCTGGGTGTCTCCATCGCGGAAAACCGCAGCGCCTTCAGCTACCACTGCAAGACCCCGGACTGCAAGGGATGGTGCTTCTTTGAGGATGATGTCAACGAGTTTACCTGCCCGGTGTGCTTCCACGTCAACTGCCTGCTCTGTAAGGTGGGGACAGGGACCCGTGCTGTCCATCCCCCTCGTCCTGCCAGGAGCTCACTGCAGTTCAGTGCCTGTTCTCCTGGGAAAGGAGCTGTGACACTAGCCTGTCAGGACAGATAGCTGCATGTCCGTGATGGGGCCTGGCCTGGGCCCCATACTGAGTCTAAGCCTTGGACCAAGCCCTGGCCCTTGATGGAACCTCAACCTAGACTGAGCCTCGGCCCAGTACTGAGCCCTGACCCTGGCCTCTAACTGAACCCCAATCCCAGTCACAGGCCGACCTCAACCCTGGCCCCAGATGGAGTCTTGCCGGACCCTGACCTCAGGCCGCTCCCTCCCCTCATCCTCTCAGCACTTGACCACTGAAGAGACTGGTCTCGGGCGAGTAGACAGGTCCGAGCCTGGTCACAGCCTAAGTGAGCTCAGTCTTGGAGCATTGGGCCTGTGATTGGGGCAGAGTCTAGCCAGGGACGGAGGGGCTGCAGTCGTGGGGAGAGGGGGTGTAGGGATTTCTCTGCCCTCGGGACTTAGCATACGTGGGTATTATTATCATCGTATGGGACAACCCTGGCCTTCCCTCCCTGGCCTCCTTGTCCCCTTCCCTAAAATAGGTGCTTGGTGTATAAAGCGAGGCCCTGTCCATGACATCATCTAGAGACATTAAGTGCCCCTCACGTCTCTCAGCCTCTTAACCCCTTGAGGAACCTTCTCACCTCGAGCCCCTCACCCCGCCTCAGGCCATCCACGAGCAGATGAACTGCAAGGAGTACCAGGATGACCTGGCCCTGCGGGCTCAGAACGACGTGGCCGCCCGGCAGACAACAGAGATGCTCAGGGTGAGGCAGGGTCGGGGCTGAGGGCCTGGAGATTGGAGCTCTGGGAGCTCCCTGCGGGTGGGGGGGCTTCTCAGAGAGGGCTGTGGTTCAGGCAGCCCTGAACGCTGTCACCCCGTTCTCGTGTCATCGCCATCCAGAAATGGGAGCTAGTTAGGACAAGTGGGCGGGTGGCGAGCAGTTAGGAAGAGCGAGGCCTGGTGGAGCCGCGGAGGAGAGTGAGCCCGCGACTCCAGAGGGGAGAGCCGGCTTCCCTCTGCAGGGGGTGGGGGCCCGGGGGCGGGCACTGAAGCCCCCCCCCCACTCTGCCCCAGTCGATGCTGCAGCAGGGCGAGGCCATGCACTGCCCGCAGTGCCGGATCGTGGTGCAGAAGAAGGACGGCTGTGACTGGATCCGCTGCACTGTGTGCCACACGGAAATCTGCTGGGTCACCAAGGGCCCGCGCTGGGGACCCGGGGTGAGTCCTCTGGAGAGCAGAGGCTTGGGGGTGCTACGGGGAGGTGCCCCGGCGGCCTTGCCAGAGAACGGGGGACAGCCCCTGGGCCGAGATCCGGCCACCGCCTGTATTCGTCTAGCTGGTAAAGTAAGAACGTTTTTTACATTTTTTAAATGTTTGAAAAGTACCAAGAACAGGAGACTATCTTGTGAGCTGTGAAAATGATATGAAATCCAAGTGTCCTGTCCCTAAGTAGCGTGTTCTGGGAGCACAGCCCGGTACATCCGTTGTGTCCCGTCTGCGGCCGCATTCGGCCCACAAAGGCCGAGACCATATGGCCCCAGGAGCCTGAAGGAACCGGCCCTTTACGGAAAAAGGTGGCCGACCGACCCCCACCCCCACCCCCCCGCCCAGGGCAGCGATGAGGAGTCGGTCTGGGGTCAGAGGCGAGTGGGTCGCCGGCGGGTGCACCCTGGCCGTGGGGTTAGGCTGCTCATCTGTAACGTGGGGACACTGGCCGAGACGGTGGCAGGGCCTCTCCCGCCTTCTCCTGAGTCAGCTGAGAACGTGCAAGGGAGGTGCTCCGCGGGCTGTCTGGGGTGAGCACTGCACGGAAGGCGGCCGTCTTTGTTAGGAGTCTGTCCCTGGAGACGGGGGCCCGTCCTTCCGTCCAGGTGGACACCAGGACAGACGGAGGCAGAGGGAGCCACCCTGTCTCCGGGGCCCGGGTGCGGGGCCCACCCAGGATATGCAAAGATCCGCCACATCCTTTGCCTGCTCTGGGTCCAGGGGAGCGTAGACTGAGACCATGTAATTGGGGGTGCTGTGGGAGCCCAGAAAGGTCTTAGTGACTGCCTCCATCAGGTAGCTGAGGCCGAGGGGGCCGTTCGTAGCAGGAGGACCGGCCCGAGCAAAGGCCCGGAGTGGGGGCGTGCAGCGCTTTGAGGGTGTGACGGAGGGAGGGCACTGTCTTCGCTGTCATGACCTTCTCTCCTCCCCATCCTCCAGGGCCCAGGAGACACCAGTGGGGGCTGCCGTTGCCGGGTGAATGGGATTCCTTGTCACCCCAGCTGTCAGAACTGCCACTAGCTGAGGATGGCCTGGTCCCCACGCTGACAGCCCCACATCCCCATGCTGCTGTGGGACAGGGCTGGTGCTTTGGCTCTGATTTCTCCCCCGGGAGATGCCTTTGCGTGTGGCTGAGACAGGCCTTGTAGAGACCAAGGCCCCCGAGCTGTGCGGATGGTTTTGTCTTCAAGTGGTGTTGCAGGGGGCCCTGTCTAAGCTTGCGGTTGGTGTTGTTCATGGTTGCATCTGCCCCAGGGCCTTTGCCCTTCCTCTGGGGCTTGCCGGCCAGACCTCTCAGCTCTTCTCTGCGGCCCTTCCCTCTGCCTGACCCAGACTTAAACACAGCCCTGCTGGATGGAGCCTCTGAGAGCCCCGTGTGAGTCCATGCTCTCCCCCTTCCACCGCCCTCGTCTGCTGAATGCTGAGCACCCAGAGCCCACCGCTTCTCCATCGGCTCTCTGGGGCTGACTCTCCTCTGTCTTTGCTGTCGGAGGCCTGCGGTTTGTTAGACAGCTGCTGCTAAGCCCATTCGGAGCCAGGGGGAGACCTGGCGGTGTCTAAAGCACAGCGTATCAGGTTCAGCTTCCACGTCTCCCTCTTTGCTGCCTGTGTAAGCTAATTAAAATGGCTTTCCAGGAAACGATGCGTGTGATGTCATGAGGGGGCGTGAAAGCGTCACGGGCTGGGACCCTGCACGCGGGCAGGATGGCGAGCTCCGTGGGCACCGAGGCGGGGTGGGGTAGCCCCTGGCAATGGTGGAGCGAGGGTATGACCTGCACTGGGATCCTTGCCCCTGTCGAGGCACCCCTGTGCCCACTTGAGGGGCTGCGTGCTCTTGGGTCAGGCAGGAAGCGGGTCTGCAGATGGGGCCTTGGGTGGGGGGGGCAAGGATGGTAGGCCAGACTTGCTGCAGACTTGTGGCCCCTCGGTGGGCATCCAGGGTTGGAGGGCAGCGATCTTTCAGGAACACTTGAAGCTGCTGCAGTTGAGGGGCGGGGCTGGCCATCCCCATTTTAATACCTCAGGCAAGATGGCACAGTTTTGGTGTCAGTCTGTGCTGGTCAGAGATGAAAGAGATGGAAGTTTTGCTGCCTTCTCTGACCAAACCCCCTTTCCCATTGAGATCCGGTACTTGATGGTGAAAACGTCATCTGAGCTTCCATGTGGATCACCGTCACGACGGGCGGAGGGCCTCTCTGCCCTTCAAGGCCTGCCTGGATTCCAGGCTCCAGAAGTTGGGGCGTGTGGCTTTGGCTGGGACTGGGGGCTGGGGCAGGGCACGTTCCGGTCCCTGAACAGGCATTGCCCCCCTGTCCCCGAATGACGAGACTCAAGCGTTGACCCCAGGCACTGGGAGCAGAGTCCTCTGAGAACATGAGTGAGGGTCTTGTGCTCTGCCGGCCTCGCTGCTCTGGGAGGAAGAAAGGGTCAGACAGAGCCCCCGCCGGGGAGGAGAGCGGGGCTGCAGCAGAGTGAGATGGGGCCCAGTGGGGGCGGGAGGTATTCTGTCCCCAGCTCCACCCCCTCTCCAGGAGGGAAGGTGGGTCCCCGACCCCCCAG